TTTTTTTTTTTTTTTTTTTTTTTTTCATTACAAATTTATTGGCGATGGAATCCGAGTATTTTACTAACATCTGTTGCTATCTGGTATTTCACACCCTTTCGGTGTTGAAACCAATTTGCATAATAGAGTTTTGTTCAGCGGAATGGTGGTATCTGTCTTCGATCATGAATAATTTTTCTGAGAAAATCAGAATCCCAGAAAAGTTAAATATAACGGTTTAGAAAAAAGCCCAAAGATAATATGCGCTCTGATTAGTTTAAAATCGTTTTTCTATAACTCGATGAAAACAAAGGACTAGAATGAGCTGTTGACGTAATGATAGAGCGAGCATAGAGATTATACATTTTGATGATGTGTGTGTTTCTAAAGAAATAGAAATAATAGCAATTAATATTTAAGAAGGGTAGCTTCAAACCCACAGAAGCTCTATATTGCGAAACATGCAGCCAGGCAAGCAGACTACTAGTTGTCTGTAATAATCTGTGTATGTTGAAATTAATTTCTGTATTGTTGCGCCAGACCTGACCACGCCACAGATCACTTTGTCGTGAACATCACAACAAATCTGACCTCGGGGATGGTTTCGCAGGTGCCCCAAGATGGACCGGAAAGTGAATTGACTTTTGTCTTCCTCGGTGTCGTAGCAGGGACCGTGATGATGTTCCTCGCCGGAACATTTTGGGCATGGAGAAAAGACCAGAAAGAAAAGGAAATGGTAAGGAAATTCAAAGATACGTTAGGATACGCTAGATCGATATCTCAGGCATAGCATTGTTTCTAGACTTTTAAAAGACCTTTGAAAGTTTAGACTGGAACTTCATTCTAAAGGCTCTAGAGAGGTTTGGGTTCGGCGCGCCTTTAATACAATGGGTTAAGACTTTTTGCAACAACATCCAAAGCTGCGTTATTAATAATGGCTACACAATGCCCTTCTTTGAATTACAACGAGACGTTAGACAGGGGTGTCCGCTTTCCGGTATACTCTTTGTAATTGCTGTTGAAATTTTAGCAAATTCAATAAGAGATGACCACTCGATAATGGTATAAATATTAAGGGAAGGAGTGTAAGCTTTCAGAATATGCAGACGACACCTCCTGTTTCGTGCGCGACATAGATTCGAGAAATTAGAGACTTTCAAAAGGTGTTCGGGATTAGAACTAAGCAAAACAAAAACGGAGGCAATATGGTTGGGAAAAAACAATCCACAACCCACAAACCTCTTTGGCATTAACTGGCCCCCGAAGTGTGTGTGTCTGGGCGTTTGCTTCTCCCGCGACTCAGAAATATCCGCAAAAGATTATTTCGAAAAAAGATTGCTTGCTCTGGAAAAGTGTCTTAACATCTGCTCATCAAGAGATCTAACACTTCACGGGAAAATAAACATTGTCAAAAATTTAGCTTTTTCAGTTTTTATTGCCTCAGCGTACCCAGTGGATTTGTTGACCAAGTGAGTAAGCTTCTTTCTAGCTTCGTATGGAACCACAAACCGCCTAAAATCAAGCATTGGACAATGATTGGTGAGATTAAGGACGGCGGACTTAATATGCCTGACTTTGAAATTATAAATAAATCTCTGAAGGCAGATTGGGTGAAACGGTTTCTTAATCCTCAAACGCAGTCCTGGAAGACAATACCCTTGGATCTTTTACATTACGTAGGTGGCCCCTTGCTGTTCGAACGAAATTTTTCTTTAAAAACTTTGCCTGAATTGTCCTTCCTACCACTTTTTTACCGCGACGTCTTAAATGCGTGGGAAGAGATTATTATGTACACTCCTACAACAACAAAAATAGACAATGAGATCTTATGGAATAATCATTTCATTACAATCGGCGGAAAATCCATTTTTTATCAACAATGGTATAATGCCGGAGTAAAGAACCTATCAGATATTCTGGACGAAGAAGGAAATTTCTTGTCCTTTCCTGAATTTAGAAAGAAGTATAAAATAAAAACAAACTTTCTACGTTATTTTGGGTTGTGCAACGCCACTCCAAAGTACTGGAAAGAAGCCTTTAACCGCGACCTTGAAAACGAATCAGTTAGCACAGGACAGTCGACACACCCTTTAAACATTTCATTTTGGATTTGTCAGCATGCACGTTCACTGTACGTCTCCAAAACGTTCCAAAAACCTACATTTAAAGCTCGTCTAATTAAGGCCGGTTTTACTGATCGGAGCATCGCAGCGTTATACATTCTCCCGTTTAAAGTCACCAAAAGCATGAAACTCTCGATGTTTCAATTCAAAATAACCACCATATTGTTTGCCCTAGCGACAAATTTTTAGAGCTAAAATTATTGAAAATATGAATGTCAATTGTGTGGTGTAAGACAGACCCTAGCGCATCTGTTCGTAGAATGTGTGCACGTCCGTTCTTTCTGGAACCTTCTTGCCTCTTGGTGGAATTCTTGTAACTTGCCCGAAGTAGCTCTGACGAACAAAGCTAAAATATATGCACAGCGCCCCGAGAAGCGATCTTTCCGCGCTGTCAACCTTTGCCTGATAGTAGCCCGTTACTACATCAAAACTGCAGCCAAAGAAAGTGAACCCTACAGCATTACAGCGTTCAAAGTAAACTATCCACGGAGTCACCAAGCGTTCGAGCATCCGTGAGCTTTTTTAGATACTTATATATAGCACTCTATTGATTTTATATGTAATAAATGTCAAGTGTAAGTAAAAAGAATATTGTAAGCTACAGTATTGTGAACAGTATCAGTGGTATAAATTACGATAGTCTTGTGAGTAGTAGTAGTGGTAGTAGTGTAAGTAACGGTGATATTAGTGTTGTAAGTAACGTAAGTACTGTAGGTAATGTTAGTATTGTAAACAGTGTTAGTAGTGTAAGTAATGTTAGTGTTATATGTAATTAATTTATGATTAAAAAAAAGATTGTTGCGTTTCAAAAAAAAAAAGGTAAATCGTTCATAAATAAAGAAAATAAAACTGGACTTAAACCATAGAAAAAAGGAAATTCAAAGAGAACGTGGCAAGATTTTAGTACTTGCTCTAATTTTGGCTGCTGTGCAGCGAGAAAACATTAACACTCATAGCGTTTCGCAGGAAACTCTAGAAAAATACATGAACATGCGATCTTTTTTAAGCCCTGGCCAAACGGAGTCGCAAGTACATCCAAGTTTTCAACTTGGGTTTACTTGGGAGTTCGTTTGGCCAGGGCTTAATGATTCAAGTTTTCTTTTTTTTAAGAAGCCACTCTCGAAATATTGACATTCTGATTTAGCATTGAGGCTAAAAGACCAAACCGAGAAAAATCATTTATTCATCCCTCAAACTCGAGCTTCATTTTATAATTTTAATATTTAGAACATAGCTTATATATTTCACATTAAAGCTTTGAAATGTATTAAAATTGGTCAAGTAAAATTTGTGTTCCAACAGACATAAACAGTAAGGCCGTAACGGTTATAAATTTCAATACGCCATATCTCCAAAGGAAATCGGACTAAACATTAACATTGTGTGTTTCTTTCTTCATAGTCTGGTACCACAGTGATCCCACAGCAATCTTTTCACCGCTGTCCACAGCACTACTTGCTCATGTTCTACACAGGATCTGGTCGGCACAGTGCAACCACTGCAAATGTGTTTTGTCGTATCTATGGAAACCACCGCAAGACAAAGCCCATCATTTTGCGTGATCCCGACCGCCAAATGTTTCATCCTTCTTCTATCAGTTCCTTCCTTGTGACACTGAACCTCTCTTTGGACCAGATACGAAAAATTCACGTGTGGCATGACATTTCAGGTCCAGATCCGCCATGGTTCTTAGAGAGTGTCGTAATTTGCCATTTAAACACTGACGTCACATGGTATTTTGAGGTAAACCGCTGGCTTGACGTCAGTACAGGTTCAAAGGAAGTTGAATGCAAATTAAAGCCCTTAAAAAGAAAGACAATGCTGAGAGTAAAAACCATGTTTGCTGCTAAAATTGTGGACAATATAAAAAACAGGCATCTTTGGGTCTCTCCTTTATGCAAACGCAACAGAAGAACGTTCAGTAAATTCCAAAAATTGTCTTGCTGCCTTGCGGTCACTGGATTGACGATATTAATAACAGCAGTGTTGGTTCATACAACTCAAGACTTGTTTTCTTATTCGTCAGTAAGGGTGGGACCTTGGAAATTGAGACTTGGTGATATTTATAGAGCTCTCATTTGCAGTGGAATTGCTTTTGTTTATCGTATTTTGCTAGAGATTCTTTTCGTAAATTCAGGGCCAAACTCCTTATTACAAGCCGACGACAAGAATGTGCAAGGTTACATAGAAGACAATTTTGAAAAGCTAAATAAAATAATATTTGTGGACGAAACTAATGACGCTGATTGTGCGTCAAATTGCGAGAAAGAAAACGTGTCGAGCTCTGACACGTGTGACATAGAACTAGAATTTGCAAATTCCGAGGAACTGAAAGCTGGGAACGCAGATGCAGATCCATTCCATTTGGACAACACAACCAGTGATCCAAGAGGGAGTCTGTCAGACAAACGAACGATAGATTGTGGTGACGAAAATTGCTTTTTCAAGGAAGCTGAATGCCTGGAGGATTTGATTGATATTCTTGGAAATTTCCCGGAAAAACAAGAAATAATTCAAATTTTAGATGACAACTCTTGTGCTCCTCAAAGTAGCCAGAGTGGTGAAGCTGAAGAGAATGAAAAGTCAAAAGAAGACTCTGATAAGTCCTCCAATTTTGCTTCTGGTAAAGAGTCCGGGGTAGACACTTACAAAGATCGGCGAGAGTCAGTGGCTTGGACAGCAACTGTAACGAACCCTGATAAGATTCCAAAACTTTGGAGAAGTCTTCCATTCCCCCAGCAACTTATTGACGAAGACAGCATTAGAAAAATACACCATGATTCGTCACCTGTACTTCCGAAGATTGTTTTGAACATAACTCAAGCCCAATGTTTTGTTGTTCCATTCATTTCCACCATTGTAGCCATAGCAACTGGTATCCATTGGTCTGACTCTGCAGGCCTGGAGAAGTCCTTCAACATCAGCAGAAGCTTTAATACTGGGGTAAAGATAGCTTTGTAAAACAATTTGTTGTGTTACAGAGATATCTACCATGAGTGACTTAAGCTACTCTGAACATGTATGCCCTGGACAATTAGAGTGAGAATTCAGGGTAACGATGTACCAACGTAATTACCCGCTTTTGTGATCTTTCACAAGATGACACTTTTACATATTTCAACGTTATCAGTTTTTATTTTTGTTTTGTTTTGAACGTTTATATAAGTGTCACACATCAACCGTGGATAACAATTTCTTTCGATTTTGTTCATCCTATACATTAGTAATCAGCCGCTGCCTATTCCCGTGCACCCTCCTAGTTCAGTCGGTAGAAAAACAGTGAGCATGAAGGTTTGCACCCTGCAGTCGAGGTCAAAGTAATTTGTCCTTGCTTCGCGTGATCTTCCATGGCTAACGCTTGGAAGGAAATGCCTGGGTTATTTTAAACTACCTTACAGTTCATTTTCCTCCTCCTTGTTTTCCTCCTTGTTTCAATTTAGGTTCCAGTTATGAACCACCTGACTACATTATTGGAGAGTTTTTATGTTTTAAAAGAACAAAGCACTAAGCACTCCCCGCACCCGCCCCCGCCCCCGCCCCCCCAAAAAATCTAATAATAACAATAATAATAATAATAATAATAATAAACAAATAAATAAAAATAAAAACAGCTGAGGTCAAAATCTAAGCGCAGCCCGTTAGCCAGTCCAATATCTTCTCCGTCTTGGATTAGCTTAAGTTTCAAAATTTCTAATCCAGCATAAAGAAGTGTAATAAATCTGCGAAATATCCCACACGAATATTGGGCTTTGTCAATAAAGTATAATTAGGCACACTCAAAGATCACCAAACATTCCTATTTTAGCAGTTTCCTGTTATTTAATCTACTCTCTTATAGGTCAAAAACACTGAAACGTTTTGGAAGTGGCTTGTAAATGATACAATTCCAGTACTTCTTGGAAAAAGGCTTAGTGAGGACAGACAGCATTTTCTTGCCGATGGCTATAGTTTTCTGTTAGGAACTGCAATTCTGAAACAGCAAAGAATTAAACCAGGAGGTAGGTCACTTTCTAATGACACCTGTTGTTAAATTCTGTTCTTGTAGCTCAAGTTTGACGTAAAACAATGAAAGATAAAAATTTCAGGCTATAACCGCAACAGTAAATTGTAAAAGTGAGGCTTCTTTGTTCTCAAAGTAATCACCCCCCCTCACCATTTCCGATTTTCAAACCGTACATTTTCACGTAATTATTCGATCAGATCGCACTGTCCATTTGTCCAGTCCCTAAGTTCTGTCCCATCCTTGCCCTATACAGGGGTTTGAACCCAGGAGGAAGAAAAAGGAGTCCTGTTCTTCTCGTGCCTGGGTTCAACTTCTCAGTATATAGAGCGTGCGGGGAAGAGACATTTTAGGGACTGGACCAAGTCTCTATTAGAAAACAATGTGAGAAAGCCTACGTTAAAAACTGGAAAGAAACATAGACCTGGCATATTGTGTTCAGGAAATGATAGCGCGAGCAAAGAGAATCTTTATTTTTATCATTGAAATAAAAGATAATTTCCCTTCCTTTTTCTCGTAGTGTTTTCTAAAAGAAAGTAGAAAGCCCCTCCTTTGTGTTTCGATCGCGTTATGATTGAAGAAACGCTCGTGACATTTTGAGTCGAAGGACCTGCGGATCATATTGCCACAGTGTTCCTCGTTTTTCCAAAAATGGTTTCTATTAAGCAATTAGATCATGAGCTCGAGATTTCTATCGCGTGATAGTTGACGAGGGCGCAGGCCGAGTCAACTGTCACGCATAAAAATCGAGAGTAAATAATCTCATTGTCTTAGTATAAATCTACTAGTCGTTCAAAACTTTATCTAATTCTTCTTCACAGACACTTCGAAAACGCCAAGAAGTGGCCATCTTTTTGTTAACAAGTGCACACTGCTACGCCACTGACTATCTATCATAGAATAAATAGTGAGTAGCGTAGCCAATCAGAGAACGGCATTCGTGATAGAACGCCAGTAGATTTATATATACTAATTCCTAATTGTAAGAGAACGTTTATCGATATTATTAATTTTCGCTCATAATTTCAGCCGACTGTGAAATCCCAGACGCGTCTAAGTCCGTGTTTAGTGGGTGTAAGCCAATGTTCTTGACAAAAACTAATGAAGACACTAATCACTATCAACAAGGCTGGAAGAAACAAACGGTTCCGCAATTAAACCACACCTTCGGGTCACCATGGAGATACTTGAGCGGAAAGGAATCCAATACTGATTACACTGCATGGGGACGAAGACAGAATTCGTTTGGTGGGGGAGGGTACATAGCATACCTGGGGACTGATTGGCAAGGCACGCTGGAGCTCATAAATTCGCTTAAAGCACATGGTTGGATTGATGGCCTCACAAGAGTGGTTTTTCTTGAGTTTTCAGTCTACAACGCTAACGTCAACATTCTATCGGCGGTGATATTTTCGATTGAATTTACGTCTTTCGGCGGTGCCTTTCCTCGTGTCGACATGCATTTGTTCCGTCTGTATCGTTATTTTACCCCACTGCAGTTCTTGTATCTTGTGGCTGAGATTTTTTTTGTCGTTTTCGTGGCGCACCTTATCTATAGAGTAGGTTGCCTTATCTACCGAGATCGCTGGAGCTATTTTACGTCTTACTGGAACGTCACTGATATTTTCTTAATTCTGTTCTCGCTGATAACCATAGCTTTATATGCTGTTCGTGAGAGCCACCTTAACAGCGCTATCGAAGCAATTCGAGAAAATCCAGATACTTTTTACGGTTTTCTGACAGTGGCCTTCTACGATGACTACATAGCTTACTTTTCATGTCTAATTGTTCTCATTCCTACAGTCCAGTTCTTAAAGTTTCTTAAGTTTAACAAGAGTTTTATGATATTTTACTCTACGCTTGAGAGAATTCGAGGGGACATTTCTGGTTTCGCTTTCGTCTTCTTTGTGAGTTTGATGTGCTTTACGTATTGGGCGTACAGCATGTTGAAAACCGTCGCCGAATCTTTCAGCACCTTCAGTGGCACGTTTTACAGCATGATCGCCATGTTGTTGGGCAAATTCAGCTTCCGGCTGTTATCGCCTGGTCAGGCTGTAGCAGCGGCAGTCGGACCTATCTTCACTTACACCTTCACTTGTGCTAACGTGTTCTTCATACTAAACATTATTCTAACAATCATCACCATAGGATTCAAGGAATCACGGGAAGACGACCGCTTCCAACAGAGCGAGTACGAGATAATCAAGTTTATCATTACCTCCTTCAAAGGCACTTGTGGTCTACTACCGCACTACATACCACCACTGCCACGAATCGAGCCTCCAGCACAGGAGAAACACTTTACGTACTTTCAGTGGAAGCTGTGCACCAATTATTTTACACGGAGTCAGTTTCCACGCTTGCTGAACTTTGCTAACGATGCTTATTTAGAAGATTTTGCGGAAGAATTAGAATTGGTGGCAAATTTGCTTAGCATGCCTCAGTCGAGAGGGCTTCTTTATGAAATAACTCGTAGGGAACAAGGCTTTTAGATGTTTTTACAGAGGTTTTTAATTTGCCCACTGCATATGCGACTGTAATGGGGAAAAGCAAATATAAAATAACCGATATTTTCAAAAGTGCCGATGTACATTTGGTATTACTATAAATCCAGTTCAACTTCCCTTGAGAATTCCACGCTCCATAGAGAAATCCTCAATCAGATAAGAGCTCAGTCGACACTGGGTACTAGGCTAGAATAAAATGAGTGCCCCAGCTACTTCAATATATCACCTTATAGCCTTGATTTGATCAAGGCTAAGTGAGGCTATATCCTTCCCCCTAAGTGGGGGGGGG